GGTCTTGAGCCAGGGCCTGGCGGGAACCGCAGGGCTGATTTCGCTTGCGATGGCAGTGGCGCACGCCCTCGGCAGCGAGACCTCCTTCCTCTACGTTCCCTGGCTGAAGCCGACCCTCGCGCTCGACCTCCTCCGCGCGCGCGTCTCGCGACGCGAAGTCGAGGTCGGCGGCGGGCTGCCGTGGATTCTGCTACCGACGAGCTCGTCCGCGCCCTGGGCGATCTGCGCGGGGCCCCCGGCGGCGGGTCTCCCCGCTCGCCCTCGGGGCCGACGCTGGCGCAAAGGTTCGCCCTGGATCACGTCCGACAGCGCGCGGCAGATATGGGGCCGCCGCCACCCGGCGACCTCGACGGGCCAGCTGCTTTCGACAAGCCCGAATCCTAGCGGGCCAACGACGGCCCCGCGCCGCGGCTGGCACCTCTTCGCGTGGACCTTGGACCTGCCGCCCCCTGGCTTTCGACCTGCGGCCCTGGGAGAGGCCGCCGGTCCGGCGGGCGAGTTGATCGAGAGGGGGCGATTCGACAAGGCGCTTCCTGGCGCGGAGCGGGAGGTGAAAGTGAGGCCCCCTAGGCTTGCGTCGGGCCCATGCCAGCCCGGCCCAGCGCAGTCGCAAGGTACGCGTAGCGCCGAATGGCGGACACTTCCCGCTCGGCGAGTCGCCGGGCCACCAGGCGGCGAGCTTCGTCCGCAGACGCGTCGACGTCGAGCCCCTTGCTGAGCTCGCCGTCGCCCCTCAGTTCCACGGGCGCCAACCCCCGCAGCGGGGGGCGGTAGCTTCGGCCCACGCGCCCGCCTCGGCTCGCGGGCGAACTCGGGCAGGCCCGGCGGGCTCGCGCGGCAGCGCAGAGGGCCGCTCGCCCCCCGCCGCCGGCGCAGCGCGGCGCGACGCAGCCGGAGAGGGCCGTGCTCGAGCGCGCCTGCGCGTCAGCGCGGCAGGGGTCCGAGCGCCGCGACCAGCGACAGCGGCTCTTGGCACGGGCGCGGAAGCAGCGGCCGAGGTGCGCTCGGCTGGCGGATCTGGGGGTCGCGGTCGTGGAGATGCCCAACCAGATGTTATACGACGGCTGGAGGTTGAACGCGGCGCCGCAGGTGGCGGGCGGGCCGCGATCGCGCACTTCCGCCCTGCCGCTGGCCCGGGCCGCTCCCAGCTGGTGCGAGTGCAGCTGGCCCGACGGGGCTCCTCGCGGCTGGGGCCCCCGCAGGCGCAGCCGCCCCTGCCGCGGGCGGCGGCCTGCCCGGCGGCGCGGAGCTTGGTGGAGTCGGGCAGCTGGCACTTCGGAGCTGCCGTTGTTTTTGCCATCATTCACGGCTTGCGGCCGCGCGCGTTCCCGAGGATCCACGTCGCGCCTGCGCTGGCCCGCGGGCGCCGCACAAGACTGGAGTGGAGCGCGGTGCTTCGCCCGCAGGAGCTCGCCACCACTTCTGAGACGGGCGACCGCGACGAGACCATCCTCGCGGACAATGCTGACACCTTCCCGTTTGCGGAGAGGCTGGTGGCGCGGTTCCGCAGAAGCGGGGCCGAGGCTCGGGCCTTCTTTTCCACCTGCCGCGAGTGGGCGACGGGCCCTGAGGCGTGGGCGAGGACGGCGGGGCGTCGCGCGACGCCATGACGGGGGCCCGCGACCTGCGCGGCGTCCGGGGCCGAAAACGGCACAAGAAGGACGGGTTAGAGCAGCTCCTCCAGCGCGCGCCGCTGGCCGCCAGGCGAGCGCCCGACGCGGCTGAGCGCAGCGCTTCCGCGCGGCCCGTGCTGAGCCGATGCGACGCTGGAGGGCGGGCGAGCTCGCCGCCCGAGGCGTTGCTGTGGAGCTCTTCCAGGGCACTGGCCGCTTCGGCGCTGCCCAGAGCCAGGCGGCGCGGCTGCGCGGGATCCCGACCGTCGAGTTCCAGGCGAGGTTCGGAGCTGACCATGCTCTGTCTCGTCGTTCGTTCCTGCAGTTCTTGAGAGCTCGAGCGCAGGACGGGCCCCTCCGTGCGGCGTGGGTCGGACTGCCGTGCACTAGTTGCAACGCTGCATATAACAGGGGACTCCTCGGTCTCAAGCCCGAGGGCCAAAAAACGCCCAGTCCGGGAACGCTCTCGCCAGTTTTTGCGGCGGTCTGTCGGGGCTCGCTCGCAGGACTGGGACCCCCAACGCCCATGGTGATCGAGAGCTGCGGCCCGAGCTGGGCGCGGAGTCGCCCCGCTCTCCCCCTCCCCTCTTCGTCGGCGTCGTCACCTTCCTCTGCCCCTCCTCCACCATCGGGATTTTAATATCGATTTCTGCGCGGGTGGGCTGCCCTAGAGGAAACGCGCGCTGCCGCCGTCGCTCACCGCTCTGGGCGCAGGATTTGCACTCGCTCGGGGCTTCCCCGCATGCAGCTGGGAGGGAAACATCCACAGGGCATCTTCTATACTAAACTCGCTGAGGCGCGGCCTACCCTCGAAATCTGCGCCGCATGTTGGCAACCCGTTTCGGGCAGGACCTCGTGGCCCAGAGTTTCCATGGGTTCTGAGCCTATCTCCAGCAATTGGTTCGGGCCTGGGGAGTGCGTTCGGGTCGGCCACGTAAGTCGGCCAAGATCTGTCTGCGATTGATTCCTGGCGGTGGATCCGTGCTAGCTACACCCGGTTTAATTTTCGATGTAAATCGGGCCTGTGAGAGCCGATCTCGATTGCAGCACGCGTTCACCGCTCTCGCATCATGCCCGTGGCCCTCTCGCGCGCAGCATGGAAGGAAGATGGCCCGATCTTTTAGATGTACATCTTTGTAGCTGCCAGTGCAGGAGAGGGCCGCGCGTGCCCTTCCTGGTTCAAGCCCCCTGCTTCGCCCCCCTTCCCCCCCACTATCACCAGTCAGGATCCGTGGGAGTTTCACCCCATTTAACCCTCGATTATACATCTGGCCTGTGCGAGCTGATATCGGTTGCAGCACGCATTCACCTTTCAAACAGCATACTCGTGGCCCTCGCGCGCACAGCATGGAAAGAAGATACTCCTCCTTCTCCTTCTACTTCGATTCGTGTGGCCCTGGTTGGGTATTGTGCGGTCGGTCCCTTCGTCTCTTTGGGCCCTCGCCTCGTTTCGCTATTCGGGTTCATTCGTCTCTTCGGCCTGGGTTCCCTGTTTGAGACGCCGAGCGAAGATCTTGTAGAACCCCTTGAGCGAAAAGGAAGGATCCAGGGCACGACGCTGTCGAACGCCAAGTAAGCCACACGGTCCCTGATGAGCGCGGTCGCCAAGGGATATTTGCGAATCGTGATTTATCTCGCGTGCGAGTAGCTTCGGTGCGCATCAGTCTCTGAGGTGCGGTCCGACCTGAACCTCGAGTTCCACAAGTGCCTCGGGGCGGACTATTTGCCAGTAGTTGGGGCCATCGGGTCCCGGCTGGGAAGCTCGAGGTCGTTTTTTCTCACGTGGCGCATGCTGCGGGGCTTCGGCGTGATAGTCTACTGGGCATAAGTGCTAGTCCGACTGCAAAGTGTGGGACTTCGTGGAGGGGGCCAGAACGCTCATCGGCCGGCGAATGTCGCAGAAATTGTTCGTGAGTTGGGGCAGGGGTGGGGTTTGGGTGGCTTGGTTTTGGTGGCCCGGCGCAGGGCCGTTGGGTTCCGTCGGGGGTGGTTTTCTCTTGCCTACTGCAGGGTTTGGTCGCCCCCGATTGACGCCTGCATGCGAGGGGCCTCCCCCTCAACAATTATTCAATATGAATACTACTCTCCCTCTTCCCCCGAAGGCGGCCTGAAAATATTCGACCCCCCCCGCGTACTGTTTTTTACACAGGATTCCCGGGAGTTGGGTTTTCGCATGCGTTTTTTTTCAAAATGCTGCTCTCGCTGAGGCGCCGGCTTCATTTCTGCTCCCGAATCGTTCCGAGTCGTGCTCCCGCTGCAGCGTGGGCCTCATTTTCGGATCGGTGTTTTGCCTCCGTCGTTCAGGATGGCGTTCTCGCCCCAGCGCGGGCCTCTTTCTCGCGGGCCCATCCGCCCGCCACCACCGCGCCGCACCACGCCCCGCCCCGCCGCACGCACACCCACCGCCACTTCCACCCACCAACGCACGCACGCACGCACGCGCACCACCACCGCGCACCGCCACCACCACCGCACTACCCCACCCACCACCACCACGCTACACCGCGTCACACCACATCACACGCGCGCACACACAGACACACACGCACGCACGCACGCACGCACGCACGCACGCACGCACGCATGCACACACACACACACACACACACTCACACACACACACATACACACACACAATCGCACACACACACACCACCACCGCCACCACCACCACTTACGCACGCAGCCCACCACCAAACCACCAAGACGCCACACCACGTCACACCACAGCACACGCGCACACACGCACACACACACACACATACACACCACCACCACAACAACCACAACCACGCACACACGCACGCACGCACGCGCACCACCACCCACTACGCACACGCGCGCGGAGCCACAGGTCCGCTACGACACGCGTCCGCGGATAGAGAAAATCAGCGCCATGGTAAGGGATGGGAGGGAGGGGTAGGATGTCAGATGTTGACGCGAGCGCACCTAACTTGTCCTACTCCCTCCCCCTCCTCTCCCTCCTCCTTTCGTAGGCGCTTTAAACCCGAACGTGACTTGGGATGCCGATATATATATATATATAGATATATATATATATATATATATATATATATATATATTATATATATATATATATATGCATATATGCATATATGTGTATATATATATGTATATATGTATATATGTATATATGTATGTATATGTATATGTTGGTCTCCTTTGTCCCATGTGACTCCGAATTACTTACAACTGTCAGCGCTCTGCGCTCCCCATTTGGGGCATTCCAGTTTCCGATATTGACAGTTGGACGTCTTGCTGGGGTGGGTCTCCTCCCCCTTTACACCCGCCGTCTTTCAGCGTCGACGGGCACCGCGGAGGCACTCCGACCGTGCTCCCCCCCCCCTTGCGGCAGAGGGGGCGGCCATGGCGGCCATGGGCACGGCCGAGATCCCGCCGTGCCCGTCCGCAGAGGCCCCCGCGCCGCCCGCGGGGGCCCTCGCGCCGCCCAGCGGTTCCAGGGGCGCCCCGCGCAAGCGCCTGCGCGTGGATTGGGCGACCAAGCTGGCGGCGGCGCTGCCGCCCGAGGGCTCGCCCGCCGCAGGACGGCTCGGCGCCCCCTCCGTTTTCTCCTCCTCCTCCCCCCCCTCCTCCTCCTCCTGATCCTCCTCCTCCTCGTCCCCCTCCTCCTCCTCCTCCTCCTCCTCCTCCTCCTCCTCCTCCTCCTCCTCCTCTTCCTCCCTCATCCTCCTCTCCCCCTCCTCCTCCTCCCTCCTCCTCCTCCTCCTCCTCCTGCTCCTCTCCTCCTCCTCCTCCTTCTTCTCCTCCTCACTCCTCCTTCTCCTCCTTCCATCCCTCTCTCCTTTCCTAACTCCCCCGTTTCTCCTCTTCCTCCTCCTCCTCCTCCTCCCTCCTCCTCTTCCTCTTGATCCTCCTTCTCCTCCTCCCCCTCCCCCTCCTCCTCCTGGGCGGCCAAGCTGGCGGCGGCGCCGCCGCCCGAGGGCTCGCCCGCCCCAGGACGGCTCGGCGCCCCCTCCGCTTCCTCCGCCTCCTCCTCCTTTCTCCTCCTCCTCCTGGGGCTGGGCGAGCAACAAGCCGTCAACCTGGCAAGAGCTTCACGTACGGAGGGCGGGCTGCTTTCAAAATGTGGCTCTCGCCCTAACGCCGCGCATACTCGTTTTAAACATGCGCAAGAGCTTCACATTTGGAGGGCGGTCCGTTTTCAAAGTGTGGTTCTCGCTTCAGTGTCGCGCGCATTTGTTTCAAAATTTGCAAGAGTTTCAGTGTTGGAGGGCGGTTCTTTTTCAAACTTTAGCCCTCGTCTTCGCGCCGCGTACATTCGTCTTAAGACTTTGCAGGAGTTTTCAGGATTCTCATGGCTAGCGCCCCAGAAACTGCGCTTTCGCACGATGTCGGGGCGCCAGGGCGCAACAGTCACGTTGATTCGCGGTGTTGAAGTCCCAGGAATAGTGTTCTGGCACGACTTTGAATCGTCAAGATGCAACAGTAATGGTGACTCGCGGCAGTGTAATCCCGGGGATGGCGTATCGGCACACTTCCGGATGTTCGAACGGTTGTCTTCCAATCAGGCATTTTTCAGTGTAAATGAATATGTGTAGGAGCCAATGTAGAGGGAATTTGGAGGGGGGTTGTTTTGCAATGTTGTTCATCAGTCTTGGGTTCACGTACGCGGGTCCTCCTCCTCTTCCTCATTTTTGTGCGTTGGTATTTTTCTGTCTCCGCTTCCTCTCTCCCCATATCCTAAGATGGGTTCCTTGTTATTCCCTTTTATCCTGAGAGGAGGTTCTTGTTATTCCCTATATTGAAAGGATGGGGTTATTGTTATTATTTGACCGCGCCAGACCTCTCCCCTCCACTCCCCCCTCTCTGCACTCGACAAGGATGATGTCTGACATGATGATGACCATGGTATGGTGAGAGCGTGATGTGAGTGTGATGGTGATGGTGAATGATGGATGATAATGGTGATGATGGTGGTGGTGATGATGATGGTGATGATGACGATGATGTGATGATGATGACGATGACGATGATGATGATGATGATGATGATGATGATGATGATGATGATGATGATGATGGCGGAGCAAATTCTGCGGGTGCCTCGAGCGAGGCGCGGGTTTCAGCACCCCCAAGGGGGGCCGCCAGGGGTATCTCACGGCTTCCGGTCGCGCCAAAATGGTGGGGATGTCTCGAGCGGTTTGCCTGTTTGCATGCTCAACATCCTCCGCTTTCGGAGCAGATGTGGAGGATGTCTCGAGCGAGGCGCTCATGTTCGCCCCGAAGGTGGGCCAGATTTTCAGGATGTCTCGATCGGTTTGCCTGTTTTGGTGGCCAGACACGTGGGCACATTTCTCCCCAGGATGTCACAGGAGGTTCCAGCAGGCTCCAGGAGGCCCCTGGAGGTCCCAGGAGCCATCAGGAGGCCACAAGAAGTTTCAAGAGGCCACAGGATGTCCCAAGATGCCCCGAGAAACTCCAGGAATCCCCCAGGAAGTTCCAGGAGGCCTTAAACGGTGTTTGTGCATGTGTCAGTGGCGGCCGCTGTTCTTGCAGCGTCTAAAATCTATCGCGCGTTTCTTGCGGGACAGAGACCTTTGCAACATCGCGCAGCGTCTGTTTCGGCAGATTGGCAGATGTGGATTCGCTGGCCTGTTGGGGGAGCATCAAGCTAGTCAACTTTGCGAACTGGCGTTGGTCGACACTTCCCCGCATCTGCCTTGAGAGAGCTTCTTGACGGCATTCGACGCGGCAGTCCTCGGAAACGCGAAGGAGGACGACACCAGGACGAAGGTAACCTTGACCGCCCAGTCATTGAATCCAGCCAACCTGTTTCATAACCGGTTCAAGTTTGTCTCGTTCGTTTGTTCATGCATCGGGCCATTGCTCGGATGGGTCAGTACATGCAGCTGCCACGCGGCCGCGTGGGAAGCTGGAGAGCGCCCGGCACGCTGGAATCAGGGGCGTAGTTTGCCATGTGCGTTTGAGAAGGCCAAGACAACGATGACGTCGATGCTGGCGGAGTGCAACCAGTGGCGGCCTGGCGACTTCCACGGGGCCGCGGAGGTCACCTACCACGTGCAGGGCGTGGTGCGATCAGCATGGCTTTTATCGCGCCGATGCATCAACGTGCCCGATGTAATGCCATGCTTGATTGGACGTCGAGGCCAGTCTGGCATCCGAGACCGAGCGCTTGCCCAGCACGCCTCAGCAGATCCAGCTCACCAACATCCTTGGACAAACCTTGCATTTGGAGCTGGCGCGCGCATGCGGGCTGCCGTCGACGCCGCAGCCGACGACGGCGCTGGCGCGTCGCGACCTCTGGAAGCCATGGCCCATTCCGTGGCGGAGAGTCCGTTGGGCGATTCGGCTGCAGAAGCGCCGCGTTCATTGGTCAAGATGGTCCAGCCCCACTCGCGCGCCGCTGGCTGGGCTCGGTCTGCGTCGACGGTCAGATTGCAGAGAAATCGCGATGATATCGACAATTTCGGCTGGATGGGTTTTCAGCAAGAACGGGGCCGACGAGTTCGTTGCCGCGGCCGACTCGGCGCAGGTGCCCGAGAGCGCTTGCGCGGGCTCCTCGGCTCGCGCTTCTTTCCAGATTCTACCGCGCAGATCATTGCAAATATGTCCACTCCCAATGGTGGGCCGTTCCAGGAGCGCCCGCGCCTGCGCCGCGCCCGCCGGGCGACTGCCCGCCGAGGCCGCCAGCTCGTGGATGGCGAAGCCGGGGATCCCGATGAGCCAGACGGGGGAGATGGCGACCATGACAACGATGACGACCCAGCTGGCGGCGGTGGAGGCGCCCCTCCCGGCGCGGGTCTCCAGCGCGATTCCCGGGAGGTTACCTTGATGCGCCAATATCCTCAACGTGCTTTGCAAACGATGGAGACCAGATCAGTGCCGAATACCCGTGTCGGGGTAGACGAGCCCGAGTTGTTCTCGTTCCAGTCATTGGGCATGGAGAGTCACGCCATCCCGGCGCCGACGGTCCCGGGCAAGGCGACGAAGAAGTGCCTTGTCGGCGCCGCCGCCCAGCCGATGGAACTGCGCATGGCGCTGGCGCGTCAGCTCGCCTCGTCGATGAGGCGGCCGCTTGCGCCTTCGGCAGAGGGCTTCGCCGTTGCGCTGCCGCTGGCGCAGCAGAAGTTGCGACGTTTGCGGGGCGGGGGTCGAAGCAGGATTCGATGGCTGTCGCGCCCCGCAGCCTCGCCATCCCATCCGCGCCGAGCCACCCGCTAGCGAGTTGCCATGAGTTCTCGGGGGTGCGATGATGGGCGCAAGGGTGAGCGAGGAAGGCAAGGCCCTGTAGGGGAGGGCCAGCTGCCAGGAGTAGGTCGCCTAAGACAGTCGTTTCTTCGGCGGTGCCCCGCGCGGGGCCTCCTGCCCCCCCCCCGCCCCCCCCTCCATCGCCGCTTGCCTCGAGCGGCCTCGCTGGGGCCGCCGGGGAAATCAAGGGTGGCCCATGGGGGGTGCCGAGCGGAGGGGCTACGACGGAACCGCGACAGGACCGCAGTCGCGGCCTTGACCATCGGTCTTTCGGCGCGCACCAGTTAGTGGATCCAGAGACGATCAATATCATGTCCCTTGTTGGCGTGGACCCCGCTGGCTTAAATGATCCCCTGGCTTGGCGCGCGTCCGAGGCCGGCGCCGAGGGGTGCCTTGCCCTGGAGCCGCCGCAGGTCGCGACGCCGACTCTTCCTCTCAGCAACAAATGCGCCCCCGCCCTCTGCCTCGCGAAGGCGCGCGAGGGAGGACGGCGGGTTCACGGCCGTCCACCGAGTTGTTCTAGGCCTCCTAGATGGGGTCGGAGTAGATGGGGTTGGAGGATCGCGTCGCATCGTCGATGCATCGCCGATGCGTCTCGATGTGGAACCCGATTTGTTTCACGTCGACGTCGCCGATGCATCGCCAACATCGACGATGCCTCGCTGGCGCATCGCCGGTGCATCGCCGATGCATCGCCAATGCATCGCCGATGTATCGGCGATGCGGCGCGATCCTCCGACCCCATCTACTCGGGCCCCATCTAGGAGGTCTCTAGTTGTTCAGCACGCGCCCGGCGATCCAGCGCGCGCCCACGATGCGAGGAGGCTCGCCAGTCAGCGGGCGCACCTGCAGCGCACCTTGGCCATGGACTTTATTCATGGCAAGGGCGTGGCGTTCGCGTCTGTGATGACGTATCAGCGTTGCCGCCTGTCGTCGAGGTCGCCTGCCGCTGCTGACGCACCCTTGTCAGCCAAGGCGCCGAAGCGAAAGCTCCAGGAACTCATTGGCGACGTTGTGCCCGTCGGGGCGCTGGATCGGCGGCCGATGCCCCGGCTTGCCTCGCCGCCTGCTGGGCCGCCAGCACTCGAGGATGACGGCGTCTGCGGGGGTGGTGGCGCTGTTTCAGATGACGCGGCCCCTCTTGTTGTTTCTGTCGCCGACGGCCCGAGGCAGTCGCGGGCGCGCCTCCGCCGCCCGCCGGGCCAGATAGCGCGGCGGGGTCGCCCGCGCTTGGAGAGGGGGGAGAGGGGGCGCGCGCGCAATGCAGGGCGGGGGTGATGGATGGATAATGGAGGGTGGGCTGACAGAGAGGAGC